TGGATTGCACTCGACGTCTTTGACGGGGGGTCTCTTGTTGTCTCTTGGACTTCTTATCCTCTAGGGTAGGGACCTTGGGTAGGATGTATAGGTCAGGCCTATGACCCCACCCCAGGTCTGTATCCTCATCACCCGGGTTGACTGAAATCCTATGTTTCCAAATGCTCTGTTTTGCACATGCATTCCTATCCTATTCATGTGTTTTTCCTGTCCCTGCGTTTATAGAATCCTCCAATTCTAAGGAGCCCTTACAGATTTACTTCATTTTCAGATAGACGTCAAAGAAAACTCTATGTGTTATGTCCTGCTCCTGTCGTGCCGTCATCCACCCCACCTAAGGTGCACCATCGACAGAAGCATTCACAGCAGCAGAGATCCCCCTGCAGAATTTCTTTCGCCGCCTCAGATCATCTTCCCCGTTGCCGGCAGCCACGCCAACTGCATTATCATCATCGACTGAGAAGATGAACCTGAGGACTACACAGTTCTGGAAGAGAGGTCGCAGTCTTTCATGTTTGCTTACGTTATACATCGGTTATTATTACCTGCTACTTTATCATTCAAACTTGAATTTTGAAATGCCCATGGGTCTCATATCGAGCCAGGAACGAATAGTATCTGTCTACTATCTGGTTCATCTGGGGTCTTCTATGTGGTTCATGTTGGGTGGGCAACAAACAATAGATGATCCATTGTCTATCTTTTTAAACTGAAGCTATAATCTACCTGTTATCATTAGTTTTGGATACATCCACTCGTTTGCTACCATCAGTCTTGATTTTGCATGCACCCCTTAGGCCTTACAGAATCAAACTATTTTTTTTATTATGCATGTCAGATATTGTACACAATCGTACTGAACATGTAGAGAAAAAGAGAAGACCGTAGCGTGGGAATATAATGTCATGCAGATGCCACTCCATAGTGGGCGAAGTGGGCCCCCTCCTGCATTTCCAGATTGTATTCCAGAGGAAGATAACTGTTCAGATGGGGATTCAGAAGGAGCCGACCACGCCTGTTTACCACCTGAGGTGTTTGCTCTAACCTGGCATGCTGATGTTGGTCATATCATGCATATGGCGCCTTGCATTGCTTACATTATACATCTTATATGTCATCAGCTTAGTTTAGATTTGCTTTATGTGAATGCCACCTGCTTGGTTTCTATATCATACTCCCACCATTTCTAAACATTTGTCTTTTTAGAGATTTCAACAAGTGACTACATACGGAACAAAATGAGTGAATCTACACTCTAAAATATGTCTATCCTGGATCTGCTTGTTTCTCTTGTAGTATGCAAACAGAATATTGGAGAAGAGCACCCCACTATGCAATGGTAGAGAAAGTAATGCAGATAAGGTTCAAGATAGTGAGACAACCCTGTTGGTCTCCAAGAAATGTGATAAAAAATGATCTTGTAGACAGTGAGAAAACCCCATAGTCCTGCGTTGATGTAGTGTTCGAGTTACTGGCCAGTACCGCTGGCACAAGCTCTTCGAACTCGCTGCCTGAATCACTTCGGCTTCTTCAGTCTCAGCTACAAGCTGAAAGACATCAGTCAGTTGTGCTGCGGCAAGAAGCCGAATGACTGAGGAAGTCCCTGCATAATTTAGATGCGTACTTTCTTGTGCAACAGCAAGCGCTGGAGGATTTAAGCGCCAAACAAGAGAAAGTTAATAAGCTTGCTAAGCATCTTGCCAGCATTATGGGTACCCAGGATATTGTTTCTTGAGCTCTTCTGAAGTGGTTTCAGTTCCGGACTTGTTTTGCTGCGGCGTTTATATGCTGCTTTGTTCCCTATATTTGCACTGGTGGCGAACTTTGATGCCCAGTGGATGTAATATGTGTAATAGCCATGATAGCCTAGCATAAGTTGCTTTCTTATTTATTTCCTTATTGTCTTGTTTATTTGTCTGCTTGTAGTCAGTGCAGTTCTTTTTCCGTGGTTTGCTAGTGGCCGCAATAACCTATTTTTAAAACTAGGCCACAATAACCATGGGCTACATATTTACTGTAGTGGCACTGGGCCTCCTACCGGCCGTAGAAACAATGGACCTTCTACGCGTCGTAGAAACAATGGGCCTTCTACATGCCGTAGACACAATGGGCCTTCTACGGGTCGTATCATCAATGGGCCTTATATGGGCCGGACGATCGATCGACCAAACATGGGCCAATAACAGACCGCATTATGGCCGTAAACGGGTTAGAGTTGGAATCCTCCGTTCATGGGCCGACCATAACGGGTCGTCGTTAATAGGCCGTATTTGATGACGCTATGAAAATAGCCCAACATATTAACGGGTCACAAACGGGCCGACTGTAACAACGAGCTGAACTTGGCCCACAAGCAAAAAATGACAGTAACGGGTCATAAGTAACCGAATGCTGGAAATGAGCCCAAGAGTAAATGGGCCCTGAGAAGGCCGACAGATAACATGGGCCGGAAATGACCCAATAGAATAATGGGTCGTTAATGGGTATAAAGTGATACAATGTTCATTACGGGCCAGTTTCAGCATGGGCCATTAATGGGCCAAGAGTTACAAAGGGCCTCATATGCGCCGAAAGACATCATGGGCCATACATGGGACGGAAGTTAAAACGGGCTGGAATCATATTGGACGGCCCAGATGACGCTACTGGGCCTAATTCGGATAGGCCGTAACGGGCCCTGTGTTTGCGGGCTGTAAATGGGCTATATGCGACCATGCCGTTAAGAGGCTTTCCGTGGGCCAGCCCGCCACCTTTTGACCAAGTCAAACGGGCCGACCTTTTCACAGGAATGGGCCTCTGTTGGGTCATGCCACGTGTCGACATATCATAGGCGCCTTCTGTCCAATGAGTGGATGACATCTGTCCCAACGATGAGCCGACACGTGTTTCCTCCAGCCAATGATGATTTTACACGTGGAAAATCCCCATTGGTGGGGGCTGTTAACGGGTTATCGGATCCAAAACCCGACCCGATAGCTTAACGGTGTTCCGTTACGGTGGATGCCACGTGTCGGTCACCCTTGACGAAAGCACTTCTGTGACGCGCGATTTATCGTCATGAAAGTGGACACTTCCGTGATGATAATTTTGGTAATGTCATGGAACACTTCTATGACAGCACAGGTATGACTATCTTGATTCTGTCATAAAATCGTCATGGATGTACATGCATGACAGAAAACGTGACCTACTGTGACAAACACGTATCATCACGGAAGTGTATTTTTTTATAGTGTTTGGAAGACTTGGGCCCCGGCCAAGTACAAGCTTCACTTCTTGCTAGCGCTGAGGCGTCGGATTTGGCCGGCAGGCAGACGCCTTCGACACGGCCTCCAATCCCACGTCGTGTGCCCATTATGCGAGCAGGAGGCTGAACTGCAGACCACCTGGCATTGGGTTGTGTGTTTGCCAGGGAGGTGTGGCACTCTACCCTCGCACGGTGCGGCCTCGGTCAGTTGGTGCCCACCATGGATGCAACTCTCATGGAGTGGTGGGCAGCCAGTCGTGCAATGATCCCGAAGGAGCGGAGGAAGGGTTTCGATTCGCTTGCCCTCCTCATCGTCTGGATGCTATGGAAGGAGCGTAATAGTCGCGTCTTCCAACGGTCTTTGCTAGAGAGAGGTTTGTAGTCGCATCAGTGATGAGGTTGAGCTATGAAAACTTTCTGGTGCGAGTGATGAGCTTGAGCTATGAAAACTTTCTGGTGCGAGGGGGTTGTCGTACTTCTGGAGATGGGACCTTCTAGCATGTAGGGCGTTGTTGGGTGCCCCATGGTGTTAATGGCTGCCCACCATATGCTACCGTGGGGATGGTTGTAACCGCGGCACAAGCCACCGGACTCTCTGTACTTCTATTTCTAATACATCGACGCGCAAAGCTTTTACACGTTCGCAAAAAAAAAGTGCATTGATAATTAAGCCTCCGTCTCAAAATATAAGACTGTCCTACGAAAACGTCTTATATTTTGAGTCGAAGGTAGCATTAAAGATGAGCATGATGCTACTTTAAGCATGGGTCGATGAACGCTGATTCGGGTACCACCAAGTCACAGCTCCACTGCAAATAAAAGCATACTACTAGAATGGCAAATCCAAATTGGACTTGAATCTGCTTAACCACATAACATGGAACACTACTGCATTCAGCTTTTGAAGGGGCAGTGGCGAAATGATGCCACATCTTTGCACGCAAGGAAAAAAGAACTGGGTTCACATTTACTATCCTGGTTTCCGCATCCTTTGAACCCCCTGAATCTTCTGTTCAAAAGAACAAATATGCGATACTGGAAGTCCAGAAATCATCCAGCCAAAAAGAGGAGGAAATAGGCAGGCACTTCAACTCAAGGTACAGTTCAAGGATCCCGGCTTCAAATCTTGCGACCACTCTTACAGAGCCTCTACACGCTGCAAAACAAGATGAAAAGGACGTCATAACAAGCTTTAAGAAATGGAAACATGCCATCAGACCGCTAGTCACAAACACAGGTCACCACTAATAATCAAATCAAGCCTTATAGTCTGCCATGTGTTGGAGAGTGAACGTGAAGACCTTAAATTTCAGGTTCAGGGCCTTCTCATTGAGGATCACAGATAACATGCATTATATGGTTATTATACCACCACACAGCGAAAAATAAGTGGACACTCAAGATGCAACCTTTTATAATCAAATACTGCTCCCTAAGAACAATAATAATTATTCACTAGCGGTTCAACATACATGGAAAGCAAGATCGTTACTAAAGTGTGTTAGCCCAACACACGCGTGCAAGCAAATAAATTAGATACAAACAGAAGATAAGAATCGATCAGGTGATGCTGTAGAACCATTTGAGTTCAACCAACCAGTAGTGAAGGAATGGGGAGGTGTCAAGTGAGGGTGCAAAAGAAATGAGTAGCCAAATACCAGAACTGATCCAGGATAGAAGGAAGTTATACATACATATGAAACAAAGTAATAGGTAAGTAAGGTTTACCTTGCTGAGAACAAGATCTCTGCCCTTACTTCAACCCGGCAATTTTTATCTTTGCCAATAAGTTCTTGTTTTCCTACAAAGCAACATCAGCACAGACATGGTAAACAAAAAGGTTGGTGCTTATCTCAGTAACATATCTAAAGACAATCCTTGCAAAACTGATGATGAAGGAACAAACTGGTACAAACAAGAACAGCAAAATGATAAGAATAGCATACAACGATGTATCCTGTTAAATCTGAAGACTTGTTAAAACCTGAATCTGTAAACGATATTGAAGTACTCAACATAAATGTCTCATTCCAGTTCATGTCTGGAAGCTCCCTCTCATGCAAAACTACATGGATAATGGTTTTTGATATCACATTCAAACAGACTGAAGTTCAAGACAGCTGCACACATGTGGACCAATAAACCTATACACTAGCAAAGATCAACAGTATCATAGGTCCAACCTCACATAGTTTATCCAGCAACATGCACGCAATATAAAGTACTCCCTCCATTCCCTAATATAAGACCTTTTAGCTTTTTCTTGATTCGTATGTTAGACACATTTTAGTATGTATGTTCACTTATTTTAGTATGTAAGCAGTCAATATTGAAATAGTTAAAAGGTCTTATATTCGGGAACGGAGGGAGTAGAATATTAACTCCTATCAACCCTTACATGACATACATGAAGGATGTAACCATTTCAGTCAGCAACAGAAAAATGGCAATTAGTTCATGTACAAGATTAATGCATACTTCAGTAGTTTAGTTGCAACTGTGCGTTGCACAATACTTCCTATAGCTATAGGTCAACACTTAAACTCACAAAATAGCATAGCTTGTACATGTAACTAAAGTGTTACCACCTATTCTATTCATCCAGAAAAAGGAAACTACCACTTTGCTTTGACTTTTGATAGCTCAAACTGTCACATTGTATGACACAAGACATCAAAATGCTCTTGAAATGAGCTTTCCAAAAGGATGTATGTAGAATGACGTATTAGCTACTTCTCCAACTCACTTGGCCACCCAGGCCTTCTACAGCAGGTATGAGGTCCCACTCCACCACTTTCACATTTTGCAGCTTAGCCCTCACGAGATTCTGACAGATGCTAGCAAGAATGCAAATTTTGTTGAAGAGAGAGATGACATATGCAGATTAAAGAAAACGTAGCAAAATCTATAAATGCTACAATAAGATGAACTGATACTCTGTCCTGTACATGCACAATTGAACACACGGGCCATGGATATGCAATACAAGCATATTACATATCCATGCCATCTCTTTTGAACAAACAAATGCTACATTGTTCAACTATTTATAAGCACTTAACTTAATAAGAAGCAAGGGTTTTCTCTACTGAATAAGATCTGATTCAAACAGGAAAAAATAGATCACGCAGCAAGAAGTTGGCATTAGTAGTTGGCCCTGCTGTTCAAATCAGCATGCCCTGCAGAGACCGGTTTAACCTTTTTATCTGGTAAGTAGTACTATTTCATATGACAACTCTACCTTAGCATTTAAAGGGGAGTCAAGTCTTTACAATGAAACCTAAGTTATATCCAGAGTGCCAACTGAAATCCCAAAATTCCTTGGATTCCGACTCAAATATGTGCACAAGATTGCTTCACTTGCAAAATGCTGTTTCCTCTCAGTCTAATAACCGATGCACAACCAAAGCAATGCATTTTTTCAAGGACGCAAACAAATCAATTTTACTACAGAAGCACATCAAGAAAAGCATTCAGCAAACTAGCACCTGACGGCGCACCAGCTTCCTTCCCCCCTCCGCCTCCCGAGCAAGCCTCTCCAGCCTCCTTAGCATCCCGGAATACATCTCCTCCACCTCGGTTGATTGCCCCGTGGCCGAGGCCACCAAGGCCTCCACCCTTCCCAGCCCGAACGCATCAATCATCCCATCCATCGCCTTCTGGTCTCTGATGCTGAAGCCCTTTGCCGGCGGACGCGGCAGCCACGGCATTGGCGACTCCGCCGCGAAGGTGTGGTACTGGCCCCGGAAACCAGGACCCACGTTGACGACCTGGAGGGAGGTGGGGAAGAGGCGGGAATCCACAAGGAGGAAGGCGCGGTAGTCGAACGAGTGGATGGAGAGGTTGGAGGAGGCGGAGGGGGCTACGAGCAGAAACACGAGGGGGTGGGTGAGGGCCAATGATTTAGACAGGGAGCGGGCGACGGCGACCTCGCGCATGGAGGGGCGGCGCGCCGCGCTGCGGCGGGAGGAGAAGAAGCCCACGGTGGCTGGGCGGGCGGGGGAGTAGGGCTGGAAGCGGCCGAGGGCGTCGGAGAGGGAGGAGGGTCGGGCGAGCGAGGCGTGGCCGGTGACGTTGATGGATAGGGTTGGGGCGGAGGAGGTGGCGCCGGAGTCGTCGTCGTCGGAGAGGGAAGGGGGAGGGGCCGGGGGGCGGGCGGCACGGCCGAAGAGTAGCCCGTCGCAGTCCCCGGCGGCGGTCCCGCAGCAGTCGAGGAGCGCCGCGAAGGCCTGGCTGGAGACGGAGAGCTTCGCGGCGGCGGCCATTTCTGGACTGCGACCAGGGGTTTGGCCGTTCGGGGCCGCTTCGGCCTTCGGAGCGTGTACTTATCGGTCGACTATTTTCCAGTTAAGCGTAGGTTTTTCTAGGAACGTCGGATCTTTATTCAACGGCTCAGATTCGTCCCCACTTGTACATCTGCATTCTCAATTCTCTGCAGTCTGCACTCCTCCCTGCGGGCTGTGCGGCTCACCGCCTTGTGCTGCTTTCCTTTCCCATTTTTGCTACGCCTGAGTGAGTCCTCCTCATAACGTAGTGCATATAAATTTTCTCGAAAATCAAACTTTGATCAAATTTATAAAAAAAAACTATTTATATTTACAATACCAAATATATACTTGCTCCGTCCGAAAAAACTTGCCCCAAGCATGGCCAAAGCTTTTTCGGACGGAAGGAGTACAATAGGAAAGTACGTATTGTCATGTATCTAAGGATATGTATTTATTATTCTAGATGTATATGTATTTCTCTATAAACTTGGTTAAAGACTATAAAGTTTGACTTTTTAAAATATCTATACCCATGCGAATCAACCTGTGACTGGATGGTTCGAGTGACTGTGGTATCCCTAGCCCACAGGTTCAAATTCTGGTGCTCGCATTTATTCCTTGATTTATTTCAGGATTTTCAGCATTGCGCAGTCAGTGGGAGGAGACGTTTCCGTTGACGACGAGGTGCCTACGGTGACTTCGTAAATTTTAAGATGATATGTCGGCTCTGTCTTTCGAAGATGCTCATAGGGATAGGGTGTGCGTGTGTGCGTTCATAGGGATGAGTGCATGTGCGTGTATATGAGCTTGCGTCTGTACTGCATAAAAAATATCTATACACTGCATTGTGGAACGGAGGGGTGTCGGTGTCAAGACCGGCGGATCTCGGGTAGGGGGTCCCGAACTGTGCGTCTAAGGCTAATGGTAACAGGAGGCGGGAGACACGATGTTTACCTGGGTTCGGGCCCTCTCTATGGAGGTAATACCCTACTTCCTGCTAGATTGATCTTGATGATATGAGTATTACAAGAGTTGATCTACCACGAGATCGTAGAGGCTAAACCCTAGAAGCTAGCCTATGATTATGATTGTTGTCGTCCTACAGACTAAAACCCTCCGATTTATATAGACACCGGAGGGGGCTAGGGTTACACAGAGTCGGTTACAAAGAAGGAAATCTACATATCTGAATCGCCAAGCTTGTCTTCCAAGCAAAGGAGAGTCCCATCCGGACACGGGACGAAGTCTTCAATCTTGTATCTTCATAGTCCAACAGTCCGGCACAAGTACATAGTCCGGCTGTCCGAGGACCCCCTAATCCAGGACTCCCTCAGTAGCCCCTGAACCAGGCTTCAATGACGATGAGTCCGGCGCGCAGATTGTCTTCGACATTGCAAGGCGGGTTCCTTCTCCGAATACTTCAAAGAAGATTTTGAACACAAGGATCGTGTCCGGCTCTGCAAAATAAATTCCACATACCACCGTAGAGAGCACAATATTCCACAAATCTAATCTGCTGACAACTTTTCATAGTGTGACATCACGCCGCGGACCGGTCATTATACGAACCGTTTTTCTCAACCTGCTGCTGCACGTCTTGCGAGGCGGTTTTATTGGCACGTCTTGTCGAAGCAGAGATCGTGTTCCCCTTATCACAGGATTCTCATCAATACGGGCGTGGGTAACCCAACCGTGCCGTTAGTATGACTCCTCGATTTTAGGCAAGTTCCAAACGGCCCCGCAGAGGACGCTTGATATTCGCCCTCTTTATAAAGAGGTCAAGACATGTCCTTGTCTTTCCACGCCTGATCCTTCCCTTCCCCTACCTCGAGTTCCAACACCCAAGGTTCAGGTTTAAGCGCTCCGGACCTTCAACCATGTCCGGATCCAACCTTCAAGGCCGGTGGATGGCCTCTTCTGTCACGAAGGAGGACATCAAGAAGCTTAGGGAGGCCAGGTATTTGACAGCCGAAATCCCCCATAGGCTACCTGCTCAAGGACAGGTTATCCCCACTCCCGAACCCAATGACAGTGTTGTATTTGTTTCCCACTTCCTCCGAGGGCTAGGCTTTAGTCTTGATCCCTTCGTTAGAGGGCTGATGTTCTATTACAGGCTAGATTTCCATGATCTGGCCCCAGACTCCTTCCTTCACATCTCGTCATTTATCGTCGTGTGTGAGGCCTTCCTCCGCATTACCCCACACTTCGGCTTATGGATCAAGACCTTCAATGTAAAGCCGAAGATGATCGATGGACGACACGCAGAGTGCGGAGGCGCTATAATAAGCAAAGGTGCCGGCGCCTTATGGCCAAAGGGTTCCTTCCCGGAGGTGTCCGACCTATGGCAACGGGAGTGGTTTTACATCACAGCTCCCCGAGGTACAAAGCGGGCAGCCGCCCTAGCCTTCCGCTCTGCCCCTCCGCCTCAACTGGCATCATGGGTCAACAAAGGGATGGACTGGGGGCCAGCTAATGACATGCTGACACTGCAAAGCCGCATCCGAGATCTCCTCAAGAGGGATATCAGTCTCGTCAAAGTAATTCAAGTAATGTTAGTTCGTCGGGTCCTGCCATGCCAACGTTGATCTCTCCGTATGTGGGAGTTCAACCCGAAAGGACCGCGAACCATTCAACACTTCTTTGGCATGGCACCCGAAGGAATGTATCGATTATTCTTCGGATCACGAATAAAGTGTCTGGACACCACCGAGGATGCGGGTCTCAACTACAACCGTCCAGATACCCAAGTAAGTAACTCCATGACCGAACATGTTGTCATTATATTTGTTACAACATTATCCTGAAAAATTACCCTTGGCCAGGACTGGATAAGAAAGGCGGAGAGGATCAGGTGTTCGGCCCCTCTTCCCGAAGGCTCGCTGGATCCTGTACTAACCAGGATGCTGGCTCGCGCACCTTATCAAGTGCCATCAGGAGAAGACGAGGGGAGGAATAGAGAAGCCAAGAGCGAGCTTCATACGTTACACATCCTAATCTGGGGAATTAGTGCCTCCATGTTGGAGGATGATCGGGGAGGTGAATCTAGAATCCCCTCTCCCCACGGGAAGAAAAGGACCGCCCCTGAAGACTTGGAAACGAAGGTTTCCAAACGAGAGAAGAAACCTTCCCCAGGGGGCCCTGCCCCGGAGGGCATCCGTACCACACAGCACCCACAAGGGGGCCAGCCGTCAACCGAGCTGTAAGTGAACAAAGGTACTTTAGTAAATATGCCCCTGCTCTTTTCCTGAGAATAACAACCGAGACATATGTTTGCAGTCCGGCTCATAGCCCTTCTCAACAGTGTTCGTCCTCGGGGGATCTTCTTCCGGAGATGATGGAGAGCGAAACGCCTCCTCTTGCTTCCTCGCCTCATGAGGCGGACGACCCTGAGGTGTCGTCATGGAGGGTTTCTCCTGATCCACAAAGGCTAGAAGGTAACTCTTCGGTCGCCCGAAGTCCGGAGTTCTCAGCTCCTAAGGAGACCGACAGAAAAAGCCTGGGAGTGCCCGGCGTACAACCAGACACATTGATGGGTCTTCTAGAGCAAGCGGCTATCTCAGAGGCACATCGTACCTTAATGGGTACGGTGGTTGAGAGGATTTCATCCGCAAAAAGCGGGTTGAATGAAGCTTTTACGAGCCTGCTAAGAGGCTTTGAGGTACACAAAGTAATATATATATATATATATATATATATTCTTGACTGTACCGCATACGCACGGTGTGCCTTGTATAGATAGTAGCTCCTGAGACTCTGGTTGCCGTCCAGACGCGGCGAGCAGAGGATCATAGTCTCAGGTAATGATAGCGCTGCTTTCATGTGTAGGCAGCTGCAGATCCGGCGGCTGACCGAACTGCTGAATTTGCCGAATTGAGGTGGCAACTTGACGTGGCGGATGCAGACATCACGCTTGTTAACAAGCGGCTTGACGAGGCACAAGGTATGTATATTCGGGTGGTCAGCAAATATTAAGAAGAGCATGATGTTGTTATTTATAGTATGCTTTGACTGTAGATGGAGCTGCCGCCGTGGAGACCCTTCGGGCAAAACTTGCCCGAGCCAAGGAGCAAGCCAGGAGAAGTGATGCGGTCGCCCTGAAGGCAGCCGAAGAATTAAAAGTCGAACAGGTTGCGCATCGCGAGAGTGAGGATAAAATAGCCAACATGGCTATTGAGCTAAAAAATGCCGCCAGCCGATATGAGCTTCTCGAAAGGGAAAACCAAACGAAAATGGGTGACCTAGAGAAGGCCTTGCAAGCAGCAAAGGAGACTCGCTCTCAAATCAGAGCGACGGGAAGGAGCTTCAGCAAGCCGGTGACATCGTGGCTGGGAAGCCCTTTTTATTGTGAACAAAGTTCGGCAATCCGAAATATGCCCCTCTTGATCAATTGTGGAGTTCTGCAGACGCATACTTGGATTTAAAAAAGAGTGCTACTGATGCGACGGAGTATTTCAAGGATCGGAAAGATCATGAGGTGGAAAGATTGTTCTGCTCACAGTTCAGTGCTCCAAAGCGTCCGCTGCTGTTGAATGAGCAAATGGCCGAGTGGGCCGAGCTCCATAGGTTGTCCGGACTTGCCATGAAGGCTGTCGTGGATCATCTGTGGCCGAAGGAACCGAGCCCAGGTAGTTATTTTAGTTTGGTGCAACGATTTCTTCGTGTTGTGCCGCATATCGACGCTGTCAAGAGGTCGGCGTGCATAGAGGGTGCGTGGGTGGCTCTTGCCCGTGTCAAGACATATTGGGCGAAGATGGAGGCCACCGAAATTGCAACCAGGGGTCCGCCTGGGGGTCAGTACTCGCCTGAGCACTATTTTGAAGAAGTCCTAGAAGGTGCCCGTTCAATAGAGGCTCAGTGCTCCAAGAATACCATGTTCCAGTGACATGTGCCTTGATTCTAAAAACAATGCTATTTTGATTATAAAGGCTATATTTATACTTTTGCGCGTAAAGTATTGTAGTGCCTCCTGTGCGGCCGTTTATGTATGTATGTATATA